AGTGTATATGATATACGCGCTATAATATTCAATAATTTTTATACAAATAAGAAATATCAAATAATTTAATTTTAAATAATATTTTTGTTAATTAGTACATATAATATAAGTAAAGCTAATAATTTTTTTTTAAACTAATCTTCATTTTTTTTTCTCCCATTGCCTGTGCAATTACTGTATTTTCTTCTCAAAGGTTTTCGTCTATGTTCTTTGTACAGCCTTCCTCTCAAGGGTTTGCTTTTTGCATCGTCATTTCTTCGTTTGCTGCTTGGGTTTCGCATCGAGTGTAGAGTAGACGCGTAGTATCGGTAGTTCTCGTTAGTTACTGTCTTTCTACGCTCTCTCCTGCGACTGACGTTATCGGCCGGCGGCCCGTGCGGACGGAAGAACAGTTTTTTTCTCACCTGTCTCCCGCCGAACACCCGGATTTCTTAAATCGGGATTTAAGGCCAAGAGGGGGAAAACGCTATTATCCCAGGATTTAATCTACCGCGAGATTTTGGGGATGCTTTTTTTGACGTTTGGTAAGATTTAACTTAAATGCTGTTCAAATCCTGTATCCAAACAGCCCCTTAGACTGAAACCTAGAACTTTACTGATAAAATTTGCTCTTCTGTTTCTAGTCTTTCATTTTTTCTCTAGCATGCATTGAAAATTTGTTTCGAATGTCAGATTTTTTGACCGAACCTTATCTGCTGTGAAGTTTAGCAGATTGTGATAGATTCCATTCAAGGAAAGTTGCTTTCTTTTTATTGATGTTCATACTTGTTTATATGTATATACTATAGGTTCTCTGATGTCACACTCTATTACTGGATGAAGTTACCTCTTCTGACTGCTATATTCTACTCGGGGAAGGAGAATGATTTTTTTGAAAATCTTAGGATGCGTTTGGGATGGCTGCAACTATCGTTAAAGCAGGTTGTGAAGTTGGTGCAGAGAAACCTATTTTCTGAAGTTGTTGTACAGAAATCAATATATTTTATTTGGTAAGTATAACTTGTTGCCTGCTGTGTTGCAACTATATGAGCATAAATTACTTTGAGATTCTTATATATACTAGTATGAATGCACGTGCACATGTTGTGAAAGAAATCCTAGTATTAAGAGAAATATTCAAATCAATTAGTTGGTAAGCAAAGAAGACAACTCATGATAAAAATCCTAGGCAACATGAAAGAAATTTAATATCTGCGATGGCAACATACATATAAACCTTAGACAATGAGTGATAAGGATGCCTTCAAGCATGAAGGATTGCATATTTTTATGAAATAAATAATAAATGGTTATACAAGCTAGGCAACATGAAAGCCTTCTAGCAGTTGTAATAAAGAAGGAAGAAGGAACTCATACAAGCTCATAGTTATATATAAAATCAATGTAGAGATATTTTATATGCACGCATTCAACTGGTCTAGCAAACAACCAACCAACCAATCCTGCAATACCCATGAATTCAGATGGCAGCATTTGCCTAGATAAGACCCCCATTGCTCTGGACATTGATTTAATAGAATCTAGGACATTTCATTGTCATACTATGTTTGCATCTTTTTGGAAATGATCCCATAGAATAGACTCAAAAGCCTCGGCCAGAGAAATTTTGATCAACAAACTCATTGCCTGAATTTCTACTTCGACCACACTTGCCATTGCTACTGCCAAAAGCTTTATGCGCTTCAACAACTGTAAAAGGTGATTTTGGATATGAAAAGAATTGGACATCAACACTTTTTAATTAGCTCAAAAGAACTCAGGAAATTAAGGAAGCATGCCTTTGATCTTATGAATGGGTATGTTAGAAACGAAAAGAACTCAGGTAGAGATCATGAAAATTGAAAACAAGGTGTCTAACAACAAGATCTTCCATATATTTAAAAGAACCTTAAAAATTCACAAAAATGTTCTCAATGCAAGAAACTGGTAAAAATTTAATTTTAAAAGTATAAAACAAGAAAAGAAATAGAACAAAGCTTTAAAGTGCAATACAAGCTAAAGGATAAATAATTTGCTGACAGAAACTCTATCAAGGGACACCAAAAGCTTAATTTAAAAAACTTCATACTACAATCCTTAAATATAAATTTTAAATTTTAACAATAAAATTTATTAAATAAAGTGAGACAACAACAACAAACCTTTACCTCACTAGGTGGGATAAGAAATTTATTACAATGCACAATCTACAACTGACATCAGACTAAAAATGGTTGCCCAAATCCTCAACATATCTACTCCAAAATATTGATCATCCCCAAAAACTCATGAATTTATGGGCTAGACTTTTCATTTGCATCTAACAAAACTAAATATTAGCACATAACTCCCAAAGTTGCAAAAAATATAGAATTCAAACAATGAACTCACTAATCCCAGAAGTCGCAGCAGAAATGAAATGAATTTATGAAGAAAGACAAAAAAAATCACAATTCAGTGAAAAAATGAGGAAGAGGAATGAAGCAGGGTAGAGTTGAAAGATGAGAATCAGATGAATACCTGGGAGCAGAGGATAGGTTTGATGGTAGAATGAAGTGATGGCCTGCGAATGGCGCTGGCTTTAGGGTTTAAATCGATGAGGTCTCCTTCACTCATTTTATTTAGCGGTAGGCTTCAGATGAAGCTTTCCGCGAACGACGACCAGCTTACCCTCGCCGTCTCATTCTCCGTCAGATGTGGCAGGAAGTGCCCTCATCGTTGCTGGCCATTGCCGCCCTCATTACAACAGCTGCTATGGCATGGTCTGGAGATTACATCTTCGACAATGAGGGAGATCAGAAATGATTGAGCAGTCTCGCACGAATGGGGTATCTACGACATCTTTTCCCTTCGAAACCGTGGAAAGCAGCAGACTGCGGGAGATAGTGAAAGGTCGCGAGAAGAAATGATGGGCCACAGAAATTTTCCTAACCAAGTTCTATTGCAATGCCCCCAAACGATCATTCAATAATTTTTTATAAAGCAAAGTATTAGTGTAGCCGTCCCAAACGGACCCTTAGTGGTACAATCAGAACAATATTATTTGAGTGAAATTCTTATCATTATGTGCTCGAGGATTGGTGCACCTATGAGCAAATATCTGGTAATTGCCACATTAGATCATGCACTTCTCTTTAAATAAATAACAAGTTCTAAAAGTTTGAGCTAAATGATAAGATATAGAAGAATTAAAAGACAATATTATGTGCGGTAACGAGTTACTCTATACTAAAGTGATCTTAAACTCTATGCCCCCTATTTTTGTGGAGAGTTTCTCTTAGAACACACCATTCCATTGAATATATCGATTGAAAACAAATCATCAAATGAAACCTAGTTGCGTAAATGAATATGTTGGTTGAAACCGCTTAATATGAAGTACTTGTTTTAAATTTTGATCCAAATAACAAAACCCGAACGTCTTAAGAATGTTTCTTGTTAGAAATATTTGGGAATAAATTTAGGAATGAGGCTATTAAGTCATATTCATTTTTTTATTTTAATTTTTATTTTTTAATAACAATGGAATTGTAATAAAGTAATGAAAAGATAAATTAAAATATTACTTATAATAACTGAAAAAATTCAAGCGATGATGAGTAAAAATGAAATTGTTGTAATAAAAATAAAAATAAAAATTGAGTAAATAAAAATAAAAATTGAGTTTATAAAAGAGAATTTTGATTTTATATGCCTCCAATGATAAAAATTGAAGAAATAATCTCGTTTGTTTTCTTACAAAAATATATCTAAGAGTTCTTAGTGGATCGAATTACCCCAAAAGGAATGATTTAATATCTTGAAGTTGAAGTATCTGGAATGAGTTGAACATATTCAAATTCAAACGTCTCACTTTCACATGGTGTTGATCTTACCAACGCCATCCACAAGTGAGTTTCTGTCATGAACACGTTTCACCTTCACATGCCTTTGGTCTTATTGATGCCATTTTTAAGCAAGCTCTGGTCCCTACTCATCACAATCTCTCATCAACTCCTATATTGTGAACAGTGATGTTCAGCAGCAAGCAACAACATCACTCTGTTCAATTATAGGTTCCAACAAGATTCAAATCGAGTTTAAATCAAATTCGAACATAGTTTAAATGAGCTTTAAATAAATATTCTTATTTGAATTAACTCATTTGTGGTGGACTTCAATAAACAGTTCATGGATATGATAGGGTAATTTAATCCTAAATAAATGTTCAGTCTTATTTCCCCAAACAAATAGTAAGCTGATATATTTCTCTAATTTATGTTATTATGAGTCATGACATTTCTCTATTTTTTCATTATCATGATTCATATGACGTTTAATTTTCCTCTATAAAATGAGTAATTGCAAATCAAACAAATATAATTATAACCCCAGAATAAAAGCTCACTTTTGGGACTTGGATATAAAATCTTTTAAACACATATCATGAAACAAACTGTCCTATATAAATTAAAAGTTGAAAAACGTGAAAGTGAGCATGTTAGACACATGTTTTAAACTAAGATAAAAGAGAGACAAAAATCCAGGAAGAAGGTTTGCATTGTTGTACAAGTGGCAACACTTGCAAATTCTCGAGTGAACGAGCTATACATACCTCAAAGAGCAGCAATAGGCAGTGTGCAACACATGAGGGAGCTGCCTCGAGTGAATTTTTTTTAGGCTTCGCGTTGCCATCCTTTCCTCCTCTTAATAGGAATAATAGAGGTCTTGTCCACGAAATTGAGCCCTCCAGAAAGTGGAAGGTGGAAAATTACATGTTGTCGCCGGCAGCCTAACATAGAACACACAAAGAAGGCATTCAATTTTGATAAGGGGGAACCCTAGATATATACCCTAGGTATGCATTCAGAACAAATTGATTAAAATAATCCCTCGAGTAGTGAGGAAAACTTTATTTTGTGGGCTGTTTAATCTTTTCAGCGATTTAGAAATAACCGCATATGAGGAAATCAGGTATAGATATTCCAAATGTGATAGTATTAAATGAGAGCGAGAGCTCTACCAAAGAGAAATAGGCTTCATGCTTCCTGCAGTTTGGCGACCGTTGTATTTTGAAAAAATAGCAGTGCCTCCGCCAATGAGTACTCATGTCGAATTTCCAGTGGATTCCATCGCGAGAAAAACATCATCCATCAACTGACGACGCGAGGAATTGTATAGTTCAGTTCGATCTAGCTTAAGCATCCACAACTCAGTTTGAACGTGGGGATCTTTTTTATACTTCTATCGTTTATGAACTGAATCTCTATGTATTTATGTGACAAAATTTTTGATCTTTTTAGAAGACGAGTTTCTTTTTTTTTTTCTTTGTGCGTCTCCAGATTTATACTTTCACTTCTAATATTTATTCTTAATTTTTCTTTGGACTGCTAAGCGAAATGCTGATAATTATTTTGGGTAGGTTTTAATGAGATTTTAATATTGAATTAAAGTTTTATGAGTGTATGATATATGTGGTGGATGAACTTGTATAATCTACTGAATATCAAATGCACAAATCTAAGTCTCCATGGTGAAAATAATCTATATTTTGCTTGAGAAAGAAATCCAACCAAGACGTGAAGGAATATTGAGAAGTTAGGCTCAGAAGAAAACATGAATTATACAGAACCCGAACGAACTCCTATAAGCTGAAGGGTGGGAAACAAAATTTTAAGAAAAAGGTCTGGGTTAGAGTATGAGATTGTATCAAAAATTTTGTATCTGGGCCTTAAGCTTTGAACCCTTAGAGCTTAGACAAAGATCATGATTTGTGCTACAGAATTGAGAACTTGGTAATTTACATAAAAAAGGAATAGATCAATCCTATTAGAGAGTCGGTGAGTACCTTATGAGGACTCCTTGATAACCTGGCGACTGCAGTAGGCAGGTTGACGTAAGCTTCCAGCGGATTCTCCTAAAGGGTCAAAGACATTACAAGAGTAAATAGCAAATTCTTCATGTTGGTCAGTGAAGACTCCGACTGAGTAAACTCAGCAGGTTGATGAATAGTTTAAGTGATTACTCTCAACAAGTAATCGATTTCCTAAGTCTTTCAATTGAGTTCAATTACTTAGTATTGATGATCGAGCTAAACTTCTTGTCAACTAGAGCAACTTCTTGATAAGTGAGGCTTTGGGGTGGTTTCTGAGTTAATAAGTTTCACGTTATATCTAATTTTTGTCGGTTTGATACTTGGCGAGCTCGTAGACTAATATGTATCATAACTTGATTAGCTTCACCAATAAAAATATGGATGCACATTAATTTTTTTATTCTCTTATTCTTTCATGTAAGTCGAGAATGATATGTGCCTTGAGTTGCAAGCATAAATCGATCTAAAGCGTTGTTGAGTTTAGTACTTCGACACGTGACACTTTTGACATGTCAGTTGTATCAACCAAAACTCTTAATTATCAAGATATTGTCCGTTTTGGCGCAAGGGCCTCACAAATCACGATTTTTTTTTGTTGATGTAATTTTCCAGAAGGTCAAAACCGTGAGGCCCTTAGGCCAAAGCGGACAATATTTGATAATTAAGGGTTTAGACTGTTACAAATGGTATTAGAGCAATACACCAATCAAAAGATCGGAATTAAATGTCATATAAGACAAAGTACTATGCCATGCGAACCACCTCTTGAACCATGTATCACTACAGGAAAATCGTCGTTACCTTTGGATATTTCCGACAAAAATGAACTTTGTCCAACATATTTTCATATTTCCGGTGGCTTTCCAATAGAATATTTTCCGTTGGTAAAACCAGCATAGGAAATAAAATATGACTGTTTTTTTTTTCTATCGGTAGTTTTTTTTTTGATTGATTTCTGACTGACTTCCAGCGGATTCATTTTTCATTGAAAGCGGTTGACGAACTGGCAGACATACGGTAATCGCCGTCAAATGGTTCCATCATGCAATCCGCCAGCAATCGGAAATTTTGCCAGAATAATCTGACATAATTTTTCCACTCCCTCCATTGCAAATCGTTGCGTCTCTCCCCTATCGAACGTTCTTGACATAAATTTTGCCATAAGGCCACTGTAAACCTATAGCAATACAAAAAAAAGGCATCCCCTTATTGTTTTACTGCAACGTTTGTAACAGTTAATTGATGTATACAAAATAAGATATATCATCATCATACAATATTGCTACTCAAAATATAATACAATCATTCAAAACATAAGTCTAACAACTTAAAAATTCAATCGTTCTATAGAAAAACTATTCAAATAAGCATTCAAAACAATAGTAATGTCACATCAAAACATAACAATAAGTTCACAATGATCATAAGTTCTCCAAACTACTACAATAACTTAAACATTAAGTCCTCTAATCATCTTCCATCTTCTCACTCCCCTCAGTTGCTGACCCTTTTTTCTTTCAATATTGGCTTAAGTATGATCAGAGCTCTGCATGCATCTCAATCTACTGTGTTAGTATGTTAGCATGTATTAGTCTCATCTCCTCTATCTCTTTGGTGAGAGTAGCAATCCTTTACTGACGATGTTATCAACTCCATTATCACCAAATGATGTTAAGTTGGGTATATTTGTCTCATATATAAATGCCTGAGAACATAATCCATATACTCTTCTCTTTTGTCTCCCTCCAATAGTCTGTGACCATGTATGATACTCAGAGTACTGAGTCTGTCCTGAAAATGATCTCTTAACAGTAGTAGAACCATGACCCTCCCAAAGTTGTACAAAATCAGCGAGATATTAAGTCCGTAAAAATTCATTTCAATTTGCATATTTTTTATGATTAATACTGAAAATTTGATATTCGCATGAGTTTTCTTTTCCTTCTCATCAACCAACTGATGATCAACTTGACATTGATATGTTCATGTATGTAGCTCTAATGATGTTGGCTCCCGACCAAGTACCTCTTTTTGTAATAGAGAACATAGTTAAAACATTATACATATATATCTGAAATTAAAGTAATTATTTATTAGTTGTCATCTATGCCCAGTATGAGGTACTGAATCATTCGTGTGAAGAGAGCTTTCTAAGCCCTCACAATTGGATGCTCTATTCTGCTTGTACTGCTCTCTAATCTTGGTGAACTCAAGGGTTGCCCAAGCTCTGGTCAAACCAGCCCACACACCCTCTCTAAGCCATAATGGATGCACCCTAGATTTTGTAATATCTGTGAATATATCCCTAAGACGAGTAGAGCTACTATTTTCAAAATTAATTATGATCCTCGCACTATGCTGAAGCAACCATCTAAAATCTTTATGGACAACATTATCTTAATGAAAAATATTAATATAAATGTAATCACAAATGTTACGTAATGCCAAAATTATGTACTTGAAATTCTCTGAATCTCATATCCTTAACTTTCTTTGGAAATTCTTCCAAGACAAGTAGGGAGCATCATATCTGCACTGTATTATGTCCCGAATCTTATGGGTGGGCTATCTTGTGGGATTAAACCTGTAAATATTACTCTTTCTCAATTGCATAATATCAAATTATAAAATTAAATAACAAAATGAACTTATATATAACCCTCAGGCCTTATGTTCACACATTTATTGGATGTTGAATTTAATCCTAAAATAAAATAAATGTACAAAAATCCGTCATTATGATGTGCCAGTCCAAGGTTATAGACTGCTTAGGCCATCAAAGTCTACATAACCATTGCATTACACTTTATAAATTATTCAATTTATAACTAATGAATGACTAAAAATCTAAACCCTGAAATTCTAAACATCTCAATGACAAGTTAGTAAACCCTAAACATTAAAAACATATAATCATGAATAAATTCATTCTAACATCGCTCAAATTCTTTCATTTACACAATTAGGTTTTTCATTTGATGATTTGGTTTCAATCCATATATTCAATGGAATGGTGTGCCTTCTAACAGAAAATCTCCACGAATTTAGATGGCATAGAGTTTGAGATCACTTTAGTATGGAGTAACTCGTTTCCACACAATTTTATATTGTAGTTCTTCTCTATCTTTATCATTTAGCTCTAACTTTTTGAAGTTAATATTTATTTAAAGAGAACTGTATGATCTAATGTGACTATTACAAGATATTTACTCATAGGTGCACCAATCTTTTCTGTTTAGTTATTGTTTTGCAATTGGCTATATGGTTTATCTGTGGGTAAATCAGGCTTCAAGTTGATGAATTCTCTTATCAAATTACCAATGTATAACTCCAATCTCACTTGTGCTTCTGGAAAGCTGGTCTAGGGACCTTTCACGTAAGGTTTGCATGTTTTGAAGCCTGGGCTTGTTGTAGAGGAAAGCCAGATTGAGCTTTGTTAGGAGGTTAAAAATATTATACTAATGGGGTTGTTTTCAAAGATGGAATGTTTTCTTTGCAAGTTTTCATGGTTACAAGCAAAAAGACATTAAAGAGAGCAATTATTCCAAGCATGTTCTTTCTTAAGGGCATCTCTAACCGAATACCATTGGCCCATTTTCAAATCCCGCGAGCAACCACCTGAATGGCAAATGGAAACACATTTTTGTATTTTATCTCGCACGTAAACAATACGACACCAATATTGGCGTCACACTATTCATCAGAAATGCATTTTTTGTGTTGAAAATAAATATAAAAATAGAGATGAGAAAGAATGTACACATAATATTCTTATTTGGTGTTAGAAGTAGAGTTCAGTTGGAGATGAATAATTGCATTTTGAAATGAAAAATAGGTTTTTCGGTTGGAGATGCCCTAAGCATGTTAAAGTTCATTAGAAAGAGCAAAAAAACTGAAGTGACTGTGTTAGCAGAGGAGAGGTAAAACTAGAACTCATATCCTCATTATTTATTTATTTATTTGTTATTAAGGATTCTTCTATTTTTTGTTAGATGCTGCTGTGTTCATGGAGTCTTACATTCTAGCAAATCAGTAACTGCTGTTTAATAAATTTTAGATAATCTACCTGCAAGTGCATGATAAATCAGAACATGTATGGGCTGTGAGCATTCTTTCTTCTATATCTTATTTTCTGCTAATGCGATTTTCACTATCTGGAAGAAACATTTAACCATTTACTGTTTTCAGTGGACTGTTTATGTGTAATGGAGTCATCAAATTCTTATTACGATGACGGGACTGTTGAAACCGGCGAAGATTCGGTTGGCGAAAAAGATAACTACGACGATAGGGCAGATACTTGTTCAAAAGATTGTGCATCTGGGGATAATGCGGTATTGAATTCAATTCAAGCTTTGGCACAATTCAATGTTGGTCATGTAAACCCTGAAGATCCATCAGCGATAGCTGAGGACAGTATGCACCTGGAGCCTGAAGTTGGTATGGTATTTTACTCTGAAGAGCAGGCTTATGAAGTTTATAATAAATATGCAAAGCGGAAAGGTTTTAGCGTACGAAAGGGTCATCTTGGTAGAAGAAAAGATGGTACCATACGGGATAGGGTTTACCTTTGCAGCTACGAAGGCACGCGTCAGAAGCATTCCACACATAACACAAGAAAACCTCGTCCAGTTTTCAGAACAAATTGCATGGCTCGGATTGAGTACAAAGTGAACCGTGATGGAGTATGGGTTGTGAACAAAGTCATAAAGGAGCACAATCATCCACTTATACGCCCAAGCAAAGCGCACTTGTTAAGATCTCATCGGAGGCTGTTATTAGCTGCTCAGGATGGGCAACAGGTGAACCAAACCGATAGTACTTTAGCAAAATCTGCTGATGGTGTTTCCGGAGAACAAGATCCTGAAAGTGAATCCCCTGTAGGCTTTCTTTTAAGGGTTCAAAGCAGCCATCTTCATACCAACAGGATGAGAGAGCTTGATAAAGGGGAAATGCAAATGCTTTTAGACTTTCTGGGAGCAAAGCAGTTGAAGGATCCATCTTTTTTTTATGGAACACAACTAGATGACAAAGAACAAGTGACTAACATTTTTTGGGCAGATGCAAGATCAATACTCGACTACTCCTACTTTGGTGATGTGGTATTATTTGATACAACTTATCGAATGAGCAAGAATGACCTTCCAATTGCCCAATTTATTGGGGTAAACCATCACAAACAACTTGTAGTATTTGGTTCTGCTTTACTGCTTGATGAAACAACAGAATCATTTGTGTGGTTATTCAGGACATTTATGGCTGCAATGTCAGGTTGCCAACCAAAAACAATCCTTACAGATCAGTGCGCTGCAATTGATAGAGCTGTAGTTATGACATTACCTAACTCATCCCATCGTCTTTGTTTATGGCACATATTGCAAAATGCTGCTAAAAACCTTTCTCATTTATATAGCAGCGACTCCAACTTTCAGAAGGATTTTAAAAGTTATATTTATGAATGTAGTTCTGAAGAAGATTTCCATTCTGGATGGATTACGTTGCTTAACAAGTATGATCTTGCTGGAAACTCATACCTCGATGATCTATTTGGAGCTCGTGAGAAATGGGCCTATGTCTACAATGGCAATACATTTTGTGCCAGTATGATCACTTTGGAGTGGAATGATATCATGAAGAAACACTTCAGGAAGTATTTCAACAGAAAATTATCTCTCTCAAAATTTATCGAGCAATATTCCAATTCATTATTTCAGTACCATGAGAAGGAACTACAAGAAGACTTTAGATCAAAGCAAAGTAAACCAGTGTTACTGGTTGATATGCCCATGCTCAATGAAGCCGCAGAATCTTATACTAGGCTATTATATAGGGACTTTGAAGTTGAGTTCAAAGGGCAGCTTTCATGCCTCTGTGAACTTATTCGCACGGATGAAATGATGTATATGTTCAGGGTTTCCCTTCCTGAGAAGCGTTGTTATGGACTTGTTGAATTTAGCCCTTCTAATTATACCGTCAATTGCAGCTGTAAGAAGTTTGAGTCTACAGGAATTTTATGCATGCATGCATTGAAAGTTCTGAATAACAACAATATCCTTCATCTCCCACGTCATTACATTCTGAAGAGATGGACAAAATATGCAAATGATGGAATCATGAATGATAAGTTTCAGTCAATCATTGAAGCCAATGCTAATGAATCTCTACTGATGCTGCAGTACAGCCGAGTCTGTCACAAGGCTATTACAATTTGTTTGAAGAACTCATGCTCCAAAGTGGCTTTGGGTAAATTTGGACGTGATGTGGATAAGCTGATGATGGAAGTGGAGAATTTGTTGCATAATCCAGCATTGAATAGGCAAACAGAAGAGCTGGATATTTTTGAAGAACTGCATCAGGATACATCAGAAACAAGGAAGAAACGGAGAGGGAGAAAATATCAATCAAAGGGTGTCCTTGATAAAAAGCTGAAAGGGAAAGATCAACCAAGCTGCATTTCAGGCCAAGCTGACATTTCATCACACCCTTCCCAAAGTATAAACAAGCATTCAGGCTTCGTTTGGGACGGCTTTCTTGCTGCTTCTTAAAGTAACTTTTTAGTATAAAAATTAAAATTTTAATACTAAAAAGTTGCTTTAAGAAGTAATAAAAAAGCCTTCCCAAACAAAACCTCAATCTCAATTTTCATTTGCTTTATCCCATGTTGTTTTCCATTCACATCTATCACTTATATATTTTTCAGTTACAGGACAAACTAACAATGTATCAATTCGAGCAATGGTTGAGGAGTCCACACATGTTCCGCCATTTTATAGAGAAACTGCCACTGCATATTGCAGTGTCATTCCAGCACAACCTTCTGGAATTTCCGGATGTGCATCGTTCCCACCCGATACAGGATTGCCTCCACAGGTTTAGCCTTTATGCACTTATTGCAAAACTATGTCATGCTTCATTGTATGGTAAATGTTACATGCATATATCTTAATCTATATACAATATGTACTGCAGGAATCATTTACTCCTTCACAAGTCATATTTGACCATACAATTGCATCCCAAGGAGCAAATAGTCCTAACTTGGCATGGTGTGCTACTAGGGGCCGGGCATCCATCAGTGTACCAATGCCACTCATGCAAGGGCAGAACAGTAGTTACCTTAGTTGGGTTGTTCCAACCCACACTGTTTCAAATGTTGGTATGCCTCAACGTCATTTGGATCCACCAATGGTAAGAGGATTATGAACATTTAGGCTTCGGTTGGGACGGCTTTTTTACTGCTTCTAAAAGCAGTTTTTAAGTCCAAAAAATAAATTTTTGTACTAAAAAGCTGCTTTAAAAAGCATTAAGAAAGCAGTCTCAAACGAAGCCTTAGTACTGTTATGCTTCTCCATGGTCATTAACTTTATACAACAGATTTTGCTTAATCTTTGTTTCAGCACACAACTGTTTCAAATCAGCATCAATCATTATCCCGCAAGCTAAACTTTGACATCAACAAAGGTAAGCAGATAAAGTGATACTTTGCAGTAACTTTCTGAATATTTGGAGTATTAATAGATTATGTCAACTTCCAGGTAATTGAGTAAGCCCGCATATGGAATACCGGAACAAGTCAGAGATTTTGCTTGTGAACTTTCGAGATAAGGCTGCAGATTCTATTTTTCTTTAGCACTTTTGAGTGTTCCTTGGTTTGATTAACTACTGTATAAACCATCACTCATGTCCCCCATCTCCTTTTTTGTTTATGGTATAGATTATGCTCCTGTCATCCTAGCAACAGCTTAAACATGTACCTTGATATGTATAGTTTGTTAAATGTAGTGGCAGTTAGTTTCATTCTTAAGCCAATTTAACTGAAGCCAAAGTTGGTGCTTCTCACAGTGTACCTATTTAAACCTTGTGGTTATGAATGTACAAATCTTTAATGAAAATGAACACAGGAACTTCTGACCACTATTGCTTTATCTTGACAGTCAATGCATGGACCTTTAACTAGTAATTCAGGATCCCTCAACAAAAGCTGCAGGTTTTGGCAGTTTCTTTTTCTTCTCTCATTTGCGGGATTGAAATAGTATGTATAATAACTGATGGTTTGATGTTCCAAGAACCCTTACATCTTTCAATTTTTTTTTGTTATGATTTAAGCTTAAAAACCAGAATTCCATATTTAAGCTTAAAACCTTTCAACTTAAGGAATCTAGATAAATGCATAACTTAGAAAAGAAAAAACATTAGCTAATACATTATATATATTAAGGTGATCAGGCTAAGAAGTTCTATGCAAAGTCATTTTCATTATTAACCGGCACACAAAGTACAACAACAACAAGTCTTTATCCCACTATGTGGGGTCGGCTACATGAATCATTTTTCTCCATTGTGTCCTGGAAGGATTAAATTCTCATCTAAATCTAATAAAGAAAAGTCATTTCTAATATTTTCTAATCAAGTCTTTTTAGGTCTACCTATTCCTTTCTTAATATAAGTCAAATCTAATAAATCTACTTTCCTAACCAGCACACAGTAATTAAAACCAAATTTAACTGCACTTATTGCAGTATTTTCTTTCAGTTCCAATCCAGCTCTTTAAAGAAAAATCCAAATCGACCCAAGCATTTGATCACTCTAATATGGTTATACTTAATGCTTTGCATAAAAAATGTAGTGCTACTATTTACATCATAGTTTTGTTGTATTCTCATCTTTCTGAAATTTAAGGATTTACTTGATTTCTTGATTGATGGGACTCCATATTTCCTTTTGTGTTCTCTCTTTAGATAATTGGGCTTCTTATGAAGAGGAGCTTTATCCAATAGTCAGAACGCAGAGATGCCCATGTTAAAGCAGAGAATTCATGGATATTGGATATGTAAAAAGTTTCATTTTCCTTTTTTCTGAGGCATGGGCATTATGACCTGTGGTCTATTTTATTGTGACTGTTAATACAAAATGCCACTTTTCATCGAACATTTGTAATTTTCAATTTTGTAAATGTAATTTTTTTTCTTTTTCTTGCACTTTCAGTGAATTCTACAATTAGAAACCATAAAAATGGCAGATATGTTGATTAGATTGGACCCTCATGAGATGTTTGAACTGGTATTGCATTGATTAAACTAAGCTCCTTATTTTTACCTGAAATTTGTTTTAGCTCAGACCATTGATACTGTATAACTGATGATTTAGGCTTCGTTTGGAACGGCTTTTTTATTGTTTCTTAAAGCGGCTTTTTAGTACAAAAATAAAAAAAATTTATACTAAAAAGCCACTTTAAGAAGCAGTAAGAAAGTCGTCCCAAACGGAGCTTTAGTTTTGTGTAACTTTGATGGTAATTCTACTCTTTTGAGTTTAGTAAAAATATCAAATTTTGTTTGAGTATGCTGTGCCATAGATATGAAGAAATTAATTTGTATTCTCGGGATTGATTAAGATTATCAGATTATTGAGATCTCATTTTCATTTCTGATTTTTGGTTCATTAGCAAGCTATTTTCATTTCTCTATGCTTCGGTTAAGGCTTCGTATGGGACAGTTTTTGAATGCTATTTTTTCGTTGCTTTTAAAAAATGTGTGTACTAAAATATTCACATAGAAAGCATAAAATGAATGATTGGCCAATCGGTTTGTTAGATTGCCCAAATTACTGATGCTTTATTAATTTAGTTCAGTATTGTTTATAGCTTCCTCATTCAAGTTGTGGCATACAAAGCACTCTAGTTGCCCATTGGATTTCGTTTGGGACGGCTTTCTTACTGCTTTTTAAAGCGACTTTTTAGTACAAATTTTTTAATTTTTGTACTAAAAAACAGCTTTAAGAAGCAAGAAGAAAGCCGTCCCAAATAAAACCTTGATCTATCATTCCTCCAAGCTTGACATTGTGACCTCCAGTCAAGCTGCTTTTACAATCAAAATAGATTTGGGTGAGGCTGTGACAACCCATCCATACAACTTACTTTCCTTTTCTTTTACCTTCTTAGTGTTAATTTTAGAGGAACCAATCCTTTATAAAGTTTGAGCTGAGAGGTAGGTAGAGAGAAATGGCAAGTTTTCTTCCAACTAGTTATAGCCTATAAAGAGTGCTATAAAGAGTGTTGAGGGTAGAATATTCACTATATGAGATAATATGAATACAATAGATGCGTATTAGTGGATGCAAAAAGCCTTTTTAAAAGGAAAGCAATGAGTAAGCAATACAATATTACTTACTTGATTATTTGTTGTGTTCCCCCTTCAATTTTACCATTGCATTTATATTAGCATCCATCTTTAAAACATAAACTAAACCTTTATAAACAATTTAATATTTTGAAATGATAGGTTTTGAGATCCTTTATCATATTAAATTTCATATATTCCTTGCTATAATAAATGCACCAAGAAGGTCTATTTCCAATCTCCTCACCATCCTTTCATACCGGGAACCATAAAATGCTTTTATAACTAATATTAAAGTTTTTATTCAAGAAAATATATTGATAAATGGATACTCAAAAGGATGTACAGATCTTGAGAGGGATTCTTCGAAAGAGACATTCCAAGTTTTATTTTATGAATTGAAATGTCTATGCATTGATGATATTGTTAACATATGTGATAGAGATGATTTTGAGATTTCGAACAAACTTTGAACATTATAGTTTGGCTCAACAAATTTATTTTTCATTTGAGCAAACAAAATGCTTCCCTATTTAAGGCCTCGGACAAAGTAGTATATTAAATATGACCCAAACATTAAATTAGCATAATAAAGAGTATTAATACTCGTTGATAGAAAAATTACTACCCACACTTATTTTTTTCGAGTCATGACTCAGCCAGATACTTATAAGCACATCAAAATTTCAGTGTTTACTAATAAGCCAATCTAACAAGAACTATATAATAAGCTAGTGAAGTGGGAATCCAAGTAAAACAAATACAACATTGTGCGCCTACCTTGGGCTTCCATCAAGGTATATGTATTGACAAACTTTGCTATTGAGTCAACCCTAAAAGAAGACGAGTCTCAAGTAAGTTTGGTTTTGTATGAAGCCTCATTGGTACCAATAGTGCCTTGCAAGAAAGTTATAATGAAGTCAATTTGAATAGTAGGTTATCAAAATAAGGATTTTATAGCCAGAATTAAATCATCTATAGATGATTACAATTTTTATGAAGTTGGTTGTAAATTTATTGTAGAAAAAATAAATTTTAAAATTTTTATTGATATATTATAGTAGATATATTTTTATAAATTAAATTCTTATCATATATATTTTTAAATAATAAACAATAGTTGTTAAATAAATGTATAATAATGATCTAAGAAAATAATAACAATTGTTGAGAATATTATTAACTTAAACAATAATAATAAATATAACCTCATTATAAAGTTTTAAATTCGTATCCAACTTAATATGATAGAGATTAAATTCCATTAAATTTTGATGAATAGTTTGAATATTTATTTCAAGATTTTTTAATTTGTTGACTCAAATAAACTTTTAATAATAATTATTGATGATGAATTTAATGCATATTATCTCATTATAATGAAATTAATTAAATCATACTTAATCTTATTTATTATATATTAATATGTCAGCCATTTATTAATTGAAGTATTATTAAACTAATAAAATACAAATCCTAAATTAAAAAAAATTAATTCTAATTAGATTAATTGAATCGAATATCCCAATTAATTATTAATAATAAAATATTATATTAATGAAAAATGTTTATAAAAATTTAAATTATGAATAATATCCATTAGTATAAGTTAATATTTTTATTAATTAATTAATACAGTAATTTTTATACAAACATCAAATAATATTATTTTAATTAATATTTTAGTTAATTAATAGCTATAACAGAAACTAATAATTATTTTTTAAAACTAATCTTCATATTTTTTTTTGTTTCTCTCATTGCCTTTGCACTTCCTATAATTTCTCCTTTCAATGGTTTTCGTGTGTGTTCTTCGTGCAGCCTTAGGCCTCTCAAGGGTTTGCTTTCTGCACAGCCATTTCTTCGTTTGCAGCATGGGTTTCGCGTGAAGGAGCGTAGCATCTGTAGTTCTCCTTAGCTTTTGTATTCCTTTGTTCTCTCCTGCGACAGACCTTATCGGCCGGCTGCCCGTGGGAACGGAAGAAAAGTTTTTTCCTCACTATTCTCCCGCTGAACTCCCGGATTTCGTAATCGGGATTTAAGGCCAAAAGGGGGAAAACGCTTTTATCTCAGGATTTAACCTAACGCGAGATTTGGGGGATGCTTTGTTTGGCTTTTGGTAAGATTTAACTTGAATGTTGTTCAAATCCTGCTTAAATCCTGTATCCAAACAGCTCCTTAGACTGAAACCTAGAACTTTACTGGTAAAAATTGCTCTTCTGTATGTTGTCTTTCGTTGTTTCTCTAACAAGCATTGACAATTTGTTGTGAATGTCAGATTTTTCGACCAAACCTTATCTGAAGTGAATTTTAGTAGGTTCTTGTGATAGATGTTCGTACTAGTTTATATGTATATATAGGTTCTCTTATGTCGCTTTCTATTACTGGATGAAGTTACCTCTTCTGACCGCTATATTCTACACGGGGAATCAAAATGATTTTTCTGAAAATCTTAGTGGCTCAACCAGAACAATCTTATTTGAGTGAAATTCTTATCATTATGTGCTCGAGGATTGCTAATTTGACTGCCTAAGAGTTCAAGGTGTCAATTTCATTATACATAAGGATTTGACATTTCTGACGAGTTTCACTTTCTTTGAATAAGATCAAAAGCCCACATTATGTTACCTTTCATGGTTTTCACTTCTTCCTGAAAGTCAGAAGGCCAAAGGACTAATTGTTTTCAAATTCAAACATTGTGTAAGCAACCAAGTAATATTTAGTTACATGGACCAGGTGGATCAATACATGTTGCATCAACTTAGCAACGCTTTTATTGATGTTTTGTGACCTTATAGACAGGATATCCTCAAGCTAATTTATCATACAATCACATCATGTCCAGGACATAAGTGGAGGCCCCGCTTAGAATCTCATTCTTAATTTTTTTAACTTTTATATAATTAACTATCATCCTAATTTGTTTTCTAAGACATAAACATACCATTTTATCCTGTCATTTGATACTTAATAGCATGGTATGCTAACAGTCTTCATCCACCATGTCATTTAGAATACTAAAGAGTAAGATCTATGTTTGTTGGAAGATATAGAGATGCAAACTTTTGTTGGTGATATTATATATCCCACGAGCCTTTTTGTAATATTTGATTATAGTTTTATTTTCCTAGTAATATCAGTGTAGCCACTATAAAGATATACAATTCCATATTTTATTGTTTTTTCAGGAGGCTTGTAGTTACACCATTAACCTTTGAATCATCATCATCATTATCATTTGCCTCATGAGAAGAATTAACCTTGTAACTTCTACATATATCTGAAATCTGTTCTTGGCTTTTCCAAACAAATTATTTGCATCTTGTTGGATTCTGTTTACCATCATATTTATGCCATTTTTAATGCAAGCTTATGGACTTACAAGGCTAAAGCATGCTCACGACCAATTTTAAATCACTCATTTATGGAAATTAATTTCAGTGATTTTACTGGTTTACCATCTTTTAAGATTAGAGATAGTCGCCTTAGATGGTTTGGTCACATTAAACAGAGGCCTTGCGATGACCTGGTTAGGAAAGTTGAGGTATTAGATTTGACTTATGTTAAGAAAGGTAGAGGTAGACCTAAAAAGACTTGGTTAGAAATTATTAGAAATGTTCTTTCTTTATTAGTTTTAAATGAGAATTTGACTTTTAACTGGACACAATGGCGAAAAAGGATTCATGTAGCCGACCCTAAGTAGTGGGACAAAGGCTTAATGTTGTTGTTGTTGTACCATCTTTTAATACTATTGAGGTTACATTATGCCATATGAGTCGACAAATGGATTAAGTTATATTGGAAGATCTAATGCATCGGCAGCTGTTTTGAATATGTCCCTCTAATTTGGTTACCAATCTTAACTGATTCGTTTTGCTCTTTTAATTGAATTTCATATGTTCAGCAGATGCTATGCTTGAGCAATTGGTTGCTCCATGTGGTTTCATGAATCTTTTAGCGCCTGTTTGATTTTTTTATAATTTTTTAAAGGATGTATATCCAAGCGTTTTTTATTAGTTCTTATTTTGAGGTAGTCTGTGATTCAAATAAACAGGATAGCTGCTGTAGTTTTATTTTGATTCATAATTTTCTCTGATACTATTACCAAATAACATGAGCTGTTAGCTGCTTTGCTGATTGGGATTGTCTCGCTCTTTTCATTCTTCCTCTGATTGTGTTAATAACTCTCATGTAAGGAGCACAACATTGATGAATCATGGTTGGATATACAGAACAACCACCACCACCTGGTGCAAATCTGCTACCACCTACATCATATCCTACCAATCCAAATCCGCCTTTCCCTTTTCCGCAAATGTCTTCCACCAATACTGAGCACGCAAGATATCCTATATTCTCTGAAAACCTTTTCCCCGTCAATTCATCCAATGGAGTATCACCTTCTGTCGAGAACCTTTATCCACACTTTCAGACAACTCAGCATGTTTCTGTTCATGAATCTTCACCAGTTGTTCCAGGTGTTGCTACACAACACTCCTATTCCTTACCAAATAAAATACAAAATCAACCTAGCAATTCATGGAACTCAGACATGAATCAAACAGACCATGTAATGGCTAATTCTCTTAGTCAATCAGGTGGTGCTACACAGTTGAACACTTGGATACCTGGAACAGAATCTGGGACATCAGATGCTAGTTTAACTTTTCCAGCAAATATAGTCAAGCCCTATAATCCATTTAGTATGGCTCCGCATGATATGCTGAACTCAAACTGCCTTGGTGAAAGCACTATGGATCTGCATTCAATGGCTGAAGCTGCTGTGGACAAGGGGGTAATTGAGCAAAAAGGGGATTCAGCTGGTATTGATATCTAAACGTGTCTCCATCAGTCAATGCATCTGAATATAAGCTTTGTTTGCACTTTTTTTTTTAATTTTCTTCTTCAGAGTTTAAATGCCCCAGCTTGTGTGCTAGAGGTTCTACTGACATCGAATCTGCTGCCCAAGATGCAGTGCTTCGTGAGCAGGTATGGCTTACCCAGAATGAGTTTTATCTTTGGCACTTCTTGTAATGTTAAACAAACGACTACTGTGCTGCACAGGAAATTACAACACAACAAGTCATACATAATCAAAGGTTAGCCAATATTTGTCCACAAGCTCTTATGCTAGTCATGTATTTGTGTAATGAATGGTATCGCTTTGGTATTATTACTATAGTTTCTTCTTGTTCATTACAGATTTGCTAAAGGAAAAAATGGGGCCAAAGAGGATAGTCAAGATATTCTCTCTGGACGGTGTGACCCCAATGCATTGAAGGCGAGCAACCTGAATGTTTCTCTTTTTTTTTTTTTTCATTATTTTTAATCCTAGTTCCTTTTTACATATGTTAAGTGCTCCAGTTTCTGGGTATTGCTAGAATTAATACTTCTCATTTATGCTGCTATAGGAACATATATTGAAGATGACTAGCCAACATCGTGCAGAAATGTCAAGCAAACGTGGGAAATCTTTCCATCAAGAGAATGGTTAGTTTCCTACGTTACATGTTTACTTTAGGTTGTCAGCATTTACTTTCAATTCAGCCGTTCAATTTCGTGGCACTTGCCATGGGAATGTGAAAAGGGCGTTCTTTGCCTTATGCTCAGTTGAAGGATACTATGTTATGCCGATGAATTGAGATATTTGTATCGCTTTTCTTTGAAATGGTGGCAAAAGTTCAGTCAGTGTATTTATTGATAGATGATAATTTCTAGAAAGAAAGTACTTCCATTCAGCAGGATTGTAAAAATTGATGTCTTATATTTTGATTACATGGTTCTGAGGAAGAGATAATGTAACTATGATCCAGATCAAAACCAAGTTAGAAGTATAAAGATAAATAAATATCATGTGTGGTTATGGCAATATTTTAGTGAAGACAATTTGTAGATACAACATTATATCGTTTATAGGAGGGTTTGGTAGCAATAAGCTTTCTCTCTAATATTGTTGTATGAAATTATGACATGTTTTCATATATGCTTTCTGAAGATAGCAACAGAGTATAGGATTCTATATTAAAGGTGTTAAGGTATGATGATAAAAATTTCTATCTAACGTGTACATGTTTCTATCTACTACCTACCTAATTCTAATAAATTCATTACGTACCTTCCTCGAGTTGCTGACGTAGGTGAATATCAATGAAGTACAATCATTTGTGTTGTGATTGCAATTTTTGGTGTATTTATTTCTATCTTCATTTATTTTTGCTTGGAAGTTTATTACCATCCTAATAAAGAGAATTGTAGATTTCACTTGACCTAACCATTTCCTCATGTCTTAAAAGGTTTAGTCTGTTCAATAGTTTTATGAGGCTCAAATATCTTGAATTGAAGTACACTAATTTCTAAGTCTTTACCCCTAGTCTCGTGTGCATTTTGTTGGTCTGTTTGAAATTCTTAGCACTTATCTTGATTCATTTGCTTGTTTATACGCAATTTATATTTATTTCATTAACTTTACTCATCAATTTTAGAATGAATGACAGTCTATATTGACAAGGTAGATGTGTCTGTACGTGCGCCACAAGTTATGAGGACAAACAAGAAAGCTTGGAAAATTAGTTGAAGCCTGTAGCTGGCACTGAATGGTTGATGCCTTCTGTGCTTTAGAATGTGTGGTGATTTGATAAGACATTAGGTGCAGGAAGGATGTTAAACTTAAATATTGACATGGTTGTTTGATTTTTCCTGGATTTATGCTAACCAATTGTCATGAAAAATTCAAAAACCTCCAACTTATTTCCCTTGAGAAGGGAGAATTAACTGATCTTTTTTTTCTTTGGTGTTGTGTAGACAGAAATAGAGGCTATGGGCCTTAGAAGTTTCTTGATTTTTACACTAATCTAAACAAAAGTGGAAATTTTTTTTGAAGTATCTGAACTTCAAAAGAGTTGTGGTGAATCCCAGAAGTTTCATAAATTGCACATTACCAAGCAACTGTCTTGCGTAATGTGCTTTATGTTCTTAGGCAAGATTTGGAGTAATGAAGTAAACAAGTTTTAGCAGTTGCGATGGCACTGTTTAATTTGCATGACATGGGTTTGCCTTAGAGATTTGCCTTCTTTGGTTTTAGAATGAATATGTTGAAAAGTAGATCCTGATTAGTATCCCTTAAATTTGAATGCTTATCATGATCCATTTAGATCATCAAACTAGTTAAGATGATGCAGGGATATTTGGTTATATTTCAAGAAGGAAAAATATAAAATAGAGTCACATTAGCAAAGTAAGTGATTGTGTTAGTGATCTTATCACATCGAGTTATTCTTCCATGGTCAATTGCAAAATATAAATGAGTCTCATATTAACAAATATTGAATGTAGTTGAAATGATTGCATTAGTGAATCTCATCAGAGTGACTTATTCTTTCTATAACAAATTGATTGGCCCTCTTTGATGTGATGAAAGAACTCATGTGTAGTTTTCCTTTAGGTAAATTAGGTTTAATTCATAAAGATTTCCCTTGATTTTGGATCAATGCTTATTTGTATAGGGGATCTAGATTTTTTATGTGTCAAACTCTTATAGTTAATTGCTCCTCCTGCTCAGAGCATATTTGATTATGGATGTATCTTAGGTTGTAATTTATGCTTAGCTTTAATAGTTAGATGCCAATTTAATTAAATGGAGAATGATTAAGGGATTGTGCTATAACATTGATTAAGACTTCATAGTTTCATCATCTTAGGTGTACAAACGGAGTTAGTTTTGCAATACTTAAGGGCTTTGAGCTATAACATCCAAGGATCCTATTTAATAACAATGTGTTGTCTTATTTTAGGCGACTTGAGTAGATCGAGGTGAAATTGTGTCTTAGATGTTCTTTTGAGGTTGATGTCAACTCGTGTATTGGTAGGGGGCTGACTTTATTAGTTTTATTGAATTATTCAAAGGCACATAGCATGATCGCTTGTGGTTTTGAGGTGCTAGACATAATTTACAAGAACTTGGAGGCATGATGGACTATCAATTGTCAAGGAACTCTAGCTCGGCTTGAAGAAGTGTATCTAAGATGGGGGTTTGGTTGGAAATTTTGATTTTGATTAATGGCCTATTATCATGGAAGGTGCCCTGATTTTAGTTTAGATTGGGGTTACATTTATTAGGAGGCCCTAGTTTTAATTTAATGGATTTACGATTAATGTGCTTAGGATTTACATTCTTAGGAAGGGCCATGAATAAGACTTAAAGGTGATTAAAATTACTTTATTCCATATGATTAAAATTTTTTATGGAAATAAACACTGAGTGTAGTGAGTGGTCTTGTTAAAAAAAAAATGGCATGGTAGGGGTATAAGAACGACCTTTTATTCACCTTAGGTAACTAATTAATAATTATAAATGTAGACCAATGTGAAAGAGTCCCCTACCACATGATCTGAATGTAATTTTTATATGTTATTCTCCCCTTTCATTATATATGTTGCATGTTAAAGAGATATTTATAGCCTTTACCGACTTTTTTCATTGCTTATTACATGATTTCTTCTTTTGGTTTTGACCAACTGATATTGAAAAGCTTATATTATGGGTTTCATAACTGTTATAAAATATAGATAACGTGGAAATTGGCAATGGATATGGCGTACCTGGCGGTGGAGCATATCATGCTGCAAGGCCCTTAAATATCCAAACTGGTAAGTTTCATTTTGTTTGTTAAGTTCTTTCTCTCTAAATAGCCAATGCTTCTGGAATAGTTCATTGATTTTTTTTTTCATTTTTATTCTTTTTATTTTTACAATCAGAAGCCAAAGATGAAAACCGTGAATCAAGCTTGGTAGCTTCAAAGGATGCTCGAAGGGAGTTGCCTGATTATCTTAAGCAAAGATTGAAAGCGAGGGGTATTCTTAGAGATGAAAAGACAAATGATGAACCAACCACATTTGAAAATGTATGTTGATCTCTTGTTTTGTTCATGTTTGATGGTTATATTTTTTCATAATTCTATTTTTGATGTTTGTTTTCATCCTTCTTTTTGGTGCCGTCTAGCATATTCTGTTTTATCATTTTCACTTTAATGTTTGGTTTTTGTGGAGAAAAAACATTCTTTACTTCTGTAATTTCTTTTATTCTGGACAACCATAGTTATGCAATATTTATACATGGAGGAAGCACAAAAAGAATTCTATTGATGATGATGTTGTTGATGATTTTTTTATATGACTCATCAGTAAGTTCTTTTTTCATTATTTAAAAATTAAAATAAACACCTTTTTTCTTAGTTACAGAAATTCGAAGATCGGCCTGCTGATAGCAAAATTGTGTTGACGTTGCCTCCTGGTTGGGTGTGTAATTTTATGGGTTATGCTTTCCAGACGATTGTTATTTCTAAAACTTTCACAGGTGAGCACTGAATTATGTTTTCTATCTATTTAGGCCAAGGCAAATGACCCAGAAACTGGTACACCATATTTTTATAATGAGAAAACTGGTGAAAGCCAATGGGAACATCCTAGTGAATTTGCTAGGCCTCAACAGCCTGATGCTTTTTCAACTCTTCCTCAAGATTGGGAAGAGGGATTGGATGAATCAACAGGTATGTGTTAAAACCATGATATGTTTTGATTGGAAATAACTTATCAGAAGTATGACTTGAGTATAAATAATTCTAGCGGAAATGTGTCCTGTTAAATGCCATTCCTTTTCTAGAAAACAATGAAGAGATGCTTATTGGAAGCATAAATCTTACCACTGTTGATAAAGAATGATCTAAATAGATTAGCTTAGTAAAAAATATTCTTAAGCATCGAAGTTGTGTCTGCATTATATGCTGTGTTAGTTACTTTGTTATGATTTTCAAACATCTAGCATTATTAAGAACGCAGTTTGGACCTCTTCTTTGAAGAACTTTAGCTTTTCTTGTGTTCTTGATGCCGATCCTTGTCATTTTTATCTTTGTCCCTGTAGCCACCTTTGAATTAGCCTGATATGCAACAGCTTTGGCAAGGCTCAGGGATCTGTCCGGCAGGACCTATATTTGGATTGTGCTAGGGTGCTGGTTTTTTCACAAAATTAGTTTAGTCTGACATGCCTTCCCTTTGTGGATAAGGCTTGGTTATGGGGAACTTTATTTGGCCTAGCACAAACCTGTCACTGTTATCTTGATTTTACTTTGGAGTTTGGTCTGCCCAACTTAACCTTGCTTGGAGAGAAATGAGAGCTTGGGCAAGAAAAGTGACCATACTTGGCTTGTAGGTGATGAGGACATCGACAGACGCTACCGACATGTTTATCGCCATCGAAATCGCAGATCGACGGCCACGATTCAGCACCTCTATTTTTTATTCATATGTCATGATGTAGTCGATGTATTTTATTATTTTATCTTTTATTTACAGTCTTTTCCGGAAGAGATGATTTGGAGTTGAATATGAGGTTAACCCATCCCACATGACCGCGGACCAAGATATTATATGGTACAAACACCATTCTTTATTGTACCAAGTGGTTACACATAATGATGGTGAACATATCCATTAAAAAAAAAAAACTCACTTGGCTTTAGATTGTTTTTAATCCCCTCTATACCTCTTGTTTCCCCGGAATGATTCAACAGTTCCACACATGGTCTAAACTCCGCACTAGAACCTTGCTTTCATGGCAATTTTAGGAAGAGAGATGGGGAATGAGGGCGCTTGTTTTATTATTGGCTCGCCTGTTGAGCTCTGGCACATCTTTGTTTATGATTAAGAAGGTTTAGTTTGTCTTTTTTGTTTTTGGGTTGTCTCCATAAACTTTTATAGTTTAATTTTACCATAAAATGAGGAGGGTTGAACATCACCTTACTTCTGATCATATGTAGAAAGCAACAAAATATTGTCTGAACTGAGCTCCTTCACTATTAGGTTCTTAATCATCCGAGCTCCTATTGATTTGACTCTACCTCCAGATTGGCTCAAAGTCATTCGATCTAATCTTATGCCAAGCCTAGCTAGTATAGGCTCGATCCATTTGATCTTGATTTGAGCCATACATGGCTCATTAAATTCAATCTGCATTTGATGCAATCCAAAAACTGAAATGATTTTGATCGGATTAATTTTTTTTCTCCTAAGGAGGACCAACATGCATAATATTGGTGTATATGCACTTACACATATATGTGTATACATTTTCATCTGATCAAGACTCGGCTAAATTCAAATTTGATCTAAATCAATTGGCTCATTAGTCTGCTATTTGCCTTTGGTCTGAGCTCGATCTGAGTTAAAAGTCAATTTGATTTTCAAGTAATAGTCGATTTTCAATTCATATTTACATCCCTATTTATGTTATCATAGCTCTTGCTAAATAAATAAAATACATTTATGCTGGAGTAATTTATTAATCTCTTTTCTCCATATACAAATTTTGTTTCAGGTCAAAGATACTATTACAATAGGAAGACAAATGCAACACAGTGGGAGAAACCAAGTTCAGTAAATAAGGCTATTCCACAGCATGTTGATCCCATAGTTGCTAGAAATCAACCTACAGGAACTGTCGTTCCAGCTCAAAATTATGCAAGATGCATGGGGTGCGGTGGATGGGGGCTTGGCCTAGTTAAGGCTTGGGGTTATTGCAATCACTGTACCAGGTATATTGAAAAATATCATTTCTTACCGTATGAAGAAAATGTTAGTGAATTTTTCATTTTTTCTTGAAGTTAATTTAGAAATAACTGCTATATTTCATAGCAGTTGTAACTCTGTTTTTGCAGCTTATATTTTTCTTTGAGTTATTTTAGAGGCATTTAATTTATGTTAATTTAGCATATGATAGTTATCTGTCTTGATTATTGCTTATTATCATGTATGTAGAGTTTCTACCCTCTAATGCCTTGTATGTATATTAAGCTCAACAACTCGTGTAATGCATATTCCAGGGTTCTCAATCTTCCTTATCAACAATATTCTATTTCGAATATGAACTATTTGGAACAGAGTAATAGTACAGCAGCGCCTGCAAAAGCTGCTTCTAAGCAACGGTATGCGGCATATTTCAGCGTCTTCACTTTCTTGTTTATCTCAAGTAGCTTTCTGGGTCTAGAGAATCTTCACTGAATAATAGTAGCACACTTATCTAATCTTAGGCTTCGTTTGGGACAGCTTTTTTATTGCTTCTTAAAATAGTTTTTTAGTTTAAAAATTAAAATTTTTATGCTAAAAATTGCTTTAAGAGGCAGTAAGAAAGCCATCCCAAATGAAGCCTTAGAGTGGAGGTGTGATTTTCAATTTGCCTATAATTCTTTGCACTCCACAGAACTAGCATACTTATCCAATTGGCGGGTTGAAATATTATTTTCAATTTGAGTGTAATTCCATGATTTCCATTTCTTTGTAGATGACAGTACCAATTCTGGACTTGCAGGACAAGTTCAAAACCACCATTTGGGAAAGGTAGCAAAAAAGATTATAAAAAACGTGCTTTCAATGAGGATGATGAATTGGACCCCATGGATCCTAGCTCTTATTCAGACGCTCCACGTGGTGGCTGGTATATTTTATGTTTTTGCTTTTTGAATTTACTCTCGGGTGTTTCTATTATAGTTGAATAGGATTAGTTCATCCCATCATCATTTGAGATCAAAATATTTCATCCTATGATAGTTGCTCTCGATTGATTTCTTTGTTATCGCATATTTAGCAAAATATGAAAATTGAAATTATTATGATTTATTTATTATTATATACAGTAGTTCGTCCAAACCTTGTTTGGATGTTTTGCGATGCTTTGCCAACAATATCTAAAGTAAGTAGCTTGAAGGATAGAGTCACTTACCCTCACTGTTGTCTTTTAGAATAACCTCCATTGCAAATTTTGAATAACTAAGATTCAAAGCAGTTAAAAGACAAGAAAATATCCAAATGTTGTCTTTTACATTAACCCTATCCTTCTAAATGTACAGTTTAACTCTCTCTTTTACTGGCAAATATTCGCAAAACTTGCTAATTTCTATTTTACCCCAATAGAATTAATATCACTTTTATCTTTCCCAATAAACTAGCAATGTATCACTTTTATCTTTCCCAATAAAAACTCAAAAGGGTATTTAACACCCTTCGAAGTAAACAGCAAGCTTGTAGGAAAATTTTAAAATTCCTTAAAAAATCTTCCTTGGATGATGGAACCATTGAACTCTATTGGGGTCACCTTAGCAATTTGCTCTTCCATTGGCACACGTGGAAAGTGAGAGTGTGAATGGAAGAAAATGGCTTTGTTTATTCATTAGTCCATTTAAATTTTTGCGGGGTTCATGTGGGAAAGAAACTGAGAAGGGGAAGGTTAAGATAAAACACACCATGAGCAAGATACGTTCTTTTATATATTATTAATATAAAATATATAATCAAAATACCTAATGCTAATATTTTTAATTTAGCATGAGCAAGATACAACACACCATGAGCAAGATACGTTCTTTTATATATTATTAATATAAAATATATGATCAAAATACCTAATGCTAATATTTTTAATTTAAAAAGCATGACAATCAGGTATTTTGTCACATTTATTACATAAACACTTAAGGTTCAGCAAAACAAAAACTAGCGTTGGTTTAATTATATTTTCATTTTAATATTTCATGAAGTATATTTAATTATCAATAACATATCAACTAAATAGACATTACTTCATCATTTTTAGCGTTATATATCTTCACAAAATGACAACAATAAAAAGAGCATATAATCTTTAAAATAATCGGACAAAATATGAACACATTGATGTATCATCAATGAGACGATTAGCCAAGATGATCATCATTAAACCAATATCATCTTCAATGGCGCCACAATCATCACCACTAAATCGGTCTCCTCTTCAATGTAGCTTTGACCACATCGAGAAAAATTTGGATACAAAGCTATTTTATTTAGTAAAAACACTTTGCTAGCATGTCTGCCTCAATTATCCCTGGGAGTGTCTAATATGTCTGGGTGCGTCTTAACCATGTTAGGGCATGCCATGGCTATTTTTGACTATAGTTTTGGGAGAAAACACATCTAACACAATTTTTAGTGTTTTTAACATGTGTCAAGGGGTGCGAAAGGCATGTCTGTGTTAAACACATGGCCAACACAAACACAAATTTTTTCTGAAGGAATTGCACATGGTGAGATGAAATCAGGTCTCATTACAATGAGATGATTTTCCTTAGAATCAGGTGTCGCACTTGTTCCCCGCTTGAAGGAATTGCACGTCCAATTTGCACCAGACATTTCTTAATTTAAAAAAATTCAGGCCTCAGTACGATGAGATGATTTCCCTTAGAATCAGGTAGTCATACTTCTTCTTTGCGTGAAGGAATTGCACATTCAATTATTTGCACTCACTAGATTAAATTTTGGAGGAATTTTATTCAAGAAAAATATTATGAATTAGATGCCTCAGATCACTATTTATATATTTCTTATAGTTAAGCTAGTAGATAAAAAAAAAAAAAAAGTTTTGCACATGACTAGTACGAATTGAAGATAAATTAATTTCATAAGATAAACATTTCCAATTTAATTTTGAAATTCCAAATTAGCTTAGTGAGCTCACCTGACGAATAGATACAAGGCGAATGACGATTCAACCGAATGACCTAATTTCATGCTCCCCAAAAAGCCGCATATGCAAAACAACTGAAAACCTTGAGATGGTGAAAGTAAACAAACAGGAACTGCTTGCTCCTCAAGAACCTTGCCAGTAGAGCTCGACTCCCTAAATGCATGCTGCAATATGTATATCTTGCGATGATGGGAATCAAAATCCACCTAAATAGATTATTATCATTATTATTAAAACAATTACAGTAGCAGTCTCGCTTCAATTTTTCATCCTTGCTTCTTTTTTTGTTTTCTATTACTTAACTGTACCTTGGCTTTGCAGGGTTGTTGGTTTAAAAGGAGTACAACCACGTGCAGCAGACACCACAGCAACTGTAAGTATTTTCCTACTTTAGAAAACATAATTTTCTCTGGTACAAATTGTTTCTTATATTTCATTAAAAACTATCATTTTCAAACAAACTTTCTCTGCGGTTCGTATTGGTTTATGAGACATTTTAATAGTGAGTCTTGAGATGGTTGATAATCATAATCATCATCATTATTAGCTTTATTCCAACTATTTGGGATTGGCTTTATGAATCTATATTCTTGGTTGGTTCCTATTGAATGTTATGTGATATATTAAATTTATTCTATGCAAATATTTTTGCATGACTTTTATCCATACTAATTTTGATTTTCCTCTTTTACTTTCTAATTTTTGGGTGTATTTTATGTCATTCATTGTATATGTCTAAACCAATGTTGTGGAAGGCCTTGAACGACGTGGGCTCAAGATCTTAGCATTTCTTTTAGGCGAGAATCATAAAAAAGGCTCAATATCTTAGCATTTCTTATCAAGCTCATGAGTCGTGTTTGAGCAAAATTTTGAGCTCGACTCGTTAATGAGCTCGAGTTCGATCATGTTAGTGTTCGACTCGATGACTCGCGAGCCGGCTCGATTAGATGTTACATGGAACGGGATAGGGCAAGGGCGCGGGAACGCATGTGGGATTCCAAACAGGATAGGGCAAGGGGCTGTGAACGCAAGGGGGATTAAACTCATGAGCCGGCATGCATGAGATCCTTTGTTCCTCCCCCATATGTTGCTTGACACTTCGATAAGAGCATGATCGCAGGCGAGATCATCCCCATATGTTGCTTCGATCCTCGGTTCCTCCCTATCGAAAGCAAGCGGGATTCGAGCATGAACTCGCGAGCCGGCATGCATGCGATCCTTGGTTCCCCTCCCATCTGTCGCTTGACACTTCGATAAGAGCATAAATGCAAGCGGAATCCTCACCATCTGTCGCTTCGATCCTTGATTTCTCTCTATCGAAAGCAGGCGGGTGGGAAAATGAATGGAGATGGGATAATGAAAACCGGGCGAAATCCTCGGTTCCTCCCCATCGAACGCATGGGAGCGGGAAACGAGAACCGGGCAGGAAATCTATTGGTTTGACGAATGGAGGGCGCATTAGAGCTGCTCGACGTGCACGTTTCAGTGTCGCGAGTATAGCTTGAGCTCGACTTGAGTTCAAGCTCGGTATTTGACTCGCGAGTCGAGCTCTAACACCCCCTGACTTGAGCTCGACTCTACCTCGTTTACACCCCTAGTTAACCCATAGTGGCTTGTCTGTTGAATTAGTGAAATATTCTTACAATGAATATCCATTTTAGATATTTAGGTATTCTTACTATCATGCAGGCAGACCTAAATCATTGATTACTCTAGTTTTATCTGGAGGTGTCAGGCTTGAGCCAAGAAAATCACCTCTTTGCAAATGCAGGAATGAGACCGTGTGCGTTAATTTCTTTCCAAATCTTATATCAGCGAGATTGTGGGAGCACTTGGGTATGCCATTTAAATATACTTTGTTTTATGGTTTAGCAACTAAAGAGATTTTGCAAGCAAAGAGATCTATCAGGATGTAAAATAGATATTAGAAAAAATAACTTTGTTGCTCGAGCTGAAGTGCTTCCCTTGACCTGTCATATGGTATGAGTCTTTAATACTACACTTGATGTGAAACTAAATGCGATAACCAAGAATTACAATTAAGATATTAATAGAAGTGATGAAATTTGCTTTGCTACCAATAAACTCTTTGTTTGCTCAAGCGAAGGTTTAAGAATATAGCATTGAAAGATTAAGTAATAACAATTGGTTAAAATTTGAGATTAGTAGGACTTGCAAAATAACAACCAATTGTTATTACTTAATCTTTCAATGCCATATTCTTAAACCTTGCAAGTCCTTGGTTGTCATTTTGCAAGTCCTACTAATCTCAAATTTTAATCAATTGTTATTACTTAATATTTCAATGTCATATTCTTAAACCTTGAGCAAACAAAGAGTTTATTGGTAGCAAAGGAAAGTTCATCACTTCTATTAATATCTTAATTGCAATTCTTGGTTATCGCATTTAGTTTCACATCAGCACTTTTTTTGTTTGTTGTGCCCATGAAGGTTTCTTAACTTTCCTGATCATCTATTGGTGAATCAAGATGACTGTGTTAACTAATTGTTGCCCATTATCTCTTTATGACTAGTCCGTAAGAATGAATCAGGTGCAGCCACACTTGTCCCCCTATCAAGTGCAGTATCAATGATAAGGTTATTTGATAAAAATGAATCTGATAGGATATGTGCTTATTTGAAATAATAGGGTAGTTATTGGGTTTAGGTGGTGAGTACTAAATAGAATGTTTTTGAAGGAGACTCGGATAATCAACATAACAAAGTAACAATTATGAAATGATCTACATTATGAAACCAGGCAAACCCAATGTTATTCATTAGGTTTTTTGCTTGATGGATTCATCAAAATAAGACATTTAACCTTAGAGGAAGATTAAAAAAAAAAATCTTGAAAATCTGTATCCATTTTGTAACTAAATTACCATATATTTTGAAACATTTTGCATTCGATTGGACATTCCGTAAGAATGTTTGACATCAAGGTTTTTCATAATGACTTTGTATAATGATATTGATTGAAATTTTATGTATTAATTTTTGTCACCTGTTAGATGCTAATTTTCATTCCACTGGTGTTGTGAATGGGATTACCAAGCAATGAAGATGAAGAGTTTATGTGCTCTTGAGGATTTCAGGATCTGGGCAATTATGATGTAAATTTATATTGTAAATTTTATATATATAATTGAAAATTATATCTAAATATATAATATAAAGTAGCAATTATTTGTATTAAATTTACTTATATATGAACTAAATGTATATTAAATGTGAATTAAATTTGAAATTATAAAATATATTATTTATGTATGAATTTTATTTATTTTGTAGTCGCAAATTTATGTTATTACATAATTATATTATTATTATTATGTCATTTAGATATCATTTAAATAATTTTAATATTTATTATCATCCAGTTCAATCCTTATATAAACATTGAACTTTCAATCAATCCAGTTTTATGTCCAGTCCGATTTTTACAATCTTTTGAAAATATAGCCTTTGCGAATGAAGAAAATCATCACTAAATAGATAAACTCAAAATAAACTTAAGTTTAATAACTTGTTAATACATCAACGAATACAACAAAAAGAATTATTATCATATTGACAAACGCTATGCTGTCTCTTTTCTTTGCCTTCAAACTTTTTGTTGGATGAAATATTATGTTCAGTTGATAGTCCTTAATTATCTGTAGGAGTATCAATTTTTCAAAAGTTATAATCTGTCTAAAATTTTAATGCCTAGGAGTTTATTTTTGTTTGATCTCATTTTTTTTGGACTTTTGAGCCAATTGAAGTAAACTCACACACACGTCACATACACAAGCTTCAAATCTAAGATATCTTAGTTGATAGCCAAAGCTCTTAACGAGCAGTATCAAGATGAGCTATGTTGTTTGATCTCGTTGCTCATAGTTTCTATGCCTATGCATAGTCTGCTATTATGCCTAGGCGTATCCATATAACTATCATGTTCTAAAATTCAGATTTACAATTATTCAGTTGGTAAATTGCCGCATACCTCAGGAAATCAAAGTCATTCGACCACTCTCCATAATAGGAGACGCAACAATGCCATGCTAATTACAGTTTCAGATTTCAGATATTACACCTTTCCTGTACTAATTTGAATTCCTTTTGTGGGATTTAAGTATATACACATCTAACATCTAAATTTTTATATTTGATTATATAATATTATAATCTTTAAATGAATTAAAATTATTATTAATATTAAATTATTTAAATTAAAATATACTTCTTCATGTTATATGTTTTGCAGCCATTTAGAAATTGGGGTATTATATCTAACTAAGGCTTCGTTTGGGCCGGCTTATTTACTGCTTCTTAAAGTATCTTTTTTGTACAAAAAAATTATTATTTTTTACTAGAAAGCCGTTTTAAGCAGCAGTAAAAAAGCCGTCCCAAACAAAGCATAAATATAATGATTTAAGCTTTAGCTTTTATGTAAATCCCTCTTTTTTTTATCCTTATTGAGTTGTGGATGTAGTAAATCCAATTTCTCTGATTCTTCTCGTATTTGGATTACAGGGACCACTCTTTCAGCAGCGGCCATACCCATCACCTGGAGCTGTCTTGCGCAAGAATGCTGAGATTGCTTCTCAGAGCAAGAAACATGGTTCGACGAATCGAATGGCGCCCATTACTAAGAGAGGAGATGGCAGTGATGGGCTCGGCGATGCAGACTGAGATCTCCTTAGATTGATCTCAGCCAGAAATGAGGCTATGAATTTGCTTTGCTGCATTTCCAAAAGACTTGTAAGAGCTAAGGGCTTTGAATCCTGGAGCAGAAATGCCAGAGATTGGAGCAGATTAAACAATTGTGGGTAACGGTTTATATCTCTTTCTTTCCTTTTTGTTGAAGATTGATTGTCATGTGGTTGGGCTGTAACATTATGACTTTTGCATTGTTGTGGTAGTAATTAGTCAATATATTGATGTGGCTAGTGATTTCTGAAGTTGTGAGACTTTTTTTGAGAGATTATTATGTGCGGTATCCGAATGTGTTCGGAGGTCGTTCTGGACGTGCCACGTCACCCAATGCACAGCCAATTCAGATGCATTATGTCACCCAATGCAATGTGCATTAGGTGATGTGGCGCATCCGGAGTGGCCTCTTGATGCGTCCGAACACCGCTCAATATTTTTTTCCTTTTTTCTCTTATTACACATTCGAATAAGTCGCCATTGCTGTAATTAAATTGTTAATGAGATCAGTTGAATGTGAAGGATTTGCTATTGAAAATCAAGGGGTTGTTTAAGATCAATTTTTTTTTTCTTTTTTTTTCATATTTAATTTATTTTATTTATGATTTAATAAAAAATAAAAATATATTTGGTATCAATCAATATGTAAAAGAAATAGGAGATGGAAAATTGGTGATGGGGAGGTTGTTAAGAGGTTTTATGATTGTTGGAGTGGTGTTGGAAGATTTAGAGTTTGTGGGAGGATAAGAAGAAACTGATTTGTTTTGAATTATAAATATATCTATGGATGATTGTTTTTTATTTTTAATGGAAGGATGAGGACTGCAAATAAGAGGGGTTGAGTTATTAGTTAACTAATGAATACAATTTTAGGTCAATTTTATCTTTATGAATATGAAGTCATGAATAGTTTATATAAATTGGTCGCAAAAATTGACAATTTGTTTGAGATAGTTTTTTAATTGTTTTTTAATGTTTTTTTTTTTTTTTTTTTTTTTTTTAATTTTTTTTTTTGAATTTGAATTTTTTATACTAAGGTTTTGTTTGGGATGATTTTTTAGTTGTTTTTTAAAACAGTTTTTTAGTGTAAAAATTTTAATTTTTATATTAAGAAGCTGTTTTAAAAAGCAAAAAGAAAATTGTCCCTAATGAAGTCTAAAAGTTGTTTTATAAAGTAGTATGAAAGCTGTACAACCGAAGCTTGAATTGTGGGAGTTAAAAGAGTTCAGTTTGTTGGGATGATCATGGAGGTATAGGAGTTAGGTTTAAAGCAATATATCAATGGTGGTTCTTCATTGGACTCCTTAGTGTGTGTCAAATAGGATTGGGTTAAGGATCTAAGTACACGATAGGTATTTATATGTCAAGAATCAATAGTGCGCTAGACATCTCTATGAGATAAGTCTAATGAAGCGTATTATTAGGAACAATTATTACGTCCTCTGACCTGACGTAGAGGTACGTTCGTCCGCCAATAACATGTCGCCACGTGCTCTTACTCTTTTCCGCGCGGCCCGACGACTTGACCCAGAGCGGAACCCGGGAATGCTATGTTCGTGATTTTCTCGGTATTGCTCGGTATTGCTTTGAAAAAACGAGAAATACCGCTCTGTGAAGACCAAAACTATACAAATACCGAGTTGTACCGAGTTTTTCTACAACTCGGTACAACTCGGTATTTGCTCAGGATTTGCTCGGTATTGATTAATTTGAATTTTTTATGTTAAAAGTTATTTTATAAAACAATAAGAAAGATGTTCCAATCGAAGTTTGAATAGGAGTTAAAAGAGTTAAGTTTGTCAGTATGATCATGGAGGGCTAGGAGTTAAGGTTTTTAAAGCAATATACTAATGGTGGTTCTTCATTGGACTCTTTAGTGTGTCAAATAGGATTGGGTAAGCAGGGGCGAGTTTACCTAAAGCCCAGGCTACCCTCCCTAAAATAATTTATAATGTGTTTTTTTAGATAATTTCTCTCGTCATTTATTTCTTAGTTTTTATTACAAATATTTTTAAGTAATTGCCCTCATTAAAAGTTTTAAAATACTATGATCTTTAGCTACTTGCTTGCTGTATAATTAAACACATAAATAGTAAAGAGAATCCGAACGCTGGCTTCGAAAACCCTCGTAGGGGCACCGCCTCTTGACCCCGCGACCTGCAAAATAAGAAGGTCGAACTTCGTCAGGGGGCGTTGTCCTCTTGGACCTCCGACATATCTGCGAAATCTATACACTTATAAGTTTGTCCCCCCTAAAAATTACAGCTGATTTGCCCCCTTGAGTAAGGATCTAAGTGCGCGATAGGTATTTTATATGTCAAGAATCAATAGTGCGCTAGACATCTCTATGAGATAAGTCTAATGTAGCGTATTATTAGGGCCAGAAAAATTGATTAAATAGTGAGATTATAACAAATACTTGCATCTCATAAATAATGGTGCATCAACTTTTAAGAAGTGAAGTCTTCTCATCTTAGTGAGCACACTAGAGAAGGAAGGTTACGTGTAACCCATTTAAATGATCTAAGAGAACAATAAGGATGTGACTCTCTATAGGAAGATGTGCAATAAAAGACTCGTTAATATAGATACATAAATTAGAGTGGGTTTAGGATTGATTAAAAATAGGCATTTAAGTTAGTTGAGTCGATTGAAAGCTCGCTTCAATTAATTCCCAAAAATACGCTTTTTTTTATTTATTCTTGAAACTACTAAGAAGGGAAATGTGAAGTTTTTGCAGTGGGAGCTCGTTGAGAGTATTAACAGGAGAGCAGTGTGTGTGAAAGATTAGAGTTTTATGAAGGGAGTTCTTTGGGATCAGGGGCGGATCCCCATTGAATTGCCCCCCCCTCAAAAAAATTTTTTTTTTTTAATTTTAGAGGGATATTTTGGAATATTTTGAGTATTTTGGGTATTTTGCCCCCATTCAAAAAAATATTTTCCCTCATTTAATCAATCCTAAGCAACTTTGCCCATCCTCCACAAAAAAAATTTTTTTTGCCCACCCTGAAAAAAGAAGCTGGATCCGCCCCTGTTTGGGATGGCATCGTGGGACTACAAACATGCACAATAGAAGAGTGGAGATAGATTATTCTTTGCGGACATCAGATACATCTTATCGTCCATAGGCCAATCAGGTGCAGTCACGGCATCCAGTACCGAGCAGTACATAGCTCAGTACTGAGCTCAATAGTAAGCTACGGTATCGAGTAGGGGTAACGTGGCACATTTCAATGGGTTCTAGACTGCATTCGGCGTCCGCACATAATAATTCCCCAGGTCTTTTCATGACAGAGCTTGCTTGTGGCATGCTCGATAAGACTAACAATGTGTTAAGAAGAAGAGACATTTGAACTTAAGCTCAAATAAGGCATAAACCTAGTGCGAACAAAGGTTCAAAACCAAGGTTTCAATTAGGTTTAAAGCAACTACAAACAAATGTTAGAATCGGGTTTGAATAAAGGTTCAAATTCGAATTTGTTGTAATTAATTTTTTTCATGATAGACTTCAATAAGTAGTTCTCATTTACAAGGGGTATAAAATCATTTGAAATAAAATTTAGTTGTACACTTGTACTTCTACTTTAAATAAATAGCGGGGATTTTACTCGAATTATTTTAATTTCATAAATTGTATAAAATAACTAGAATAATACAAAAGATAAATATTTGTACAAAAGTTTTTACGCCAACTATAAGCAAAATTTTCTTGAACTTTTAATTGCAAGAATTTCTCTTAATCTGGATTAATTACTAAAATTTATCATTGTAATAAATCCTATTTATATAAGAAAATAAATCATAATAGTATTTGTTTTGTGATATTTTATTCAATTTTTTCCTTTTATCTTACCTAAAATTTATTCAAATATTTTTATAAGAATAAAATTAAAATAAAATTTCTCACAAAGAATTAATACAAAAAACTAATATTAAAATTTTTTTTAATAAATATATCAAAAGTAAATTTGTGCAAAACTTCAAATCGTTATAAATATTTCTATAAACATAAAGTTTTAAAAATAGTAACATAAAAATAATATTAAATATTTTTAGAAATATATAAATAAAATTAAAGTTATAAAAGATTTATAAGTTATAACTAACAAAAAATTTAAAATATAAATTTCTTATAAAATTTTTAGAAAAATCATAAAAACGCAAAACAGATTTGGCATTTTCTTTGTACAATTAAATCATTTTTTAGCTTTCATAAGAGAATCCCAATTTTGATTTACATTTTCTTATGAAAACGAAAAAAAAATCGTTTTCTCTGAACGCAAATCAAAACTGCTTTTAAGCTCCATTAATATCACAATTTTTCCACTAATTTTTCATTAAGATGTGCTCCCCAAATTTTCATTAAAAAATAATCCCATAAAACAATAACCAAAAGAGATTAAAAAGGAAATAAATCATAATGATGATTAAAAATAGTCAAATAAATTTTGATAAAAATCTAAAAGCTACCTATAAATTTTTTTTTCACTAGCGCTATTCATAAAATTTACAAATATACCACACAGAAAACTATCAAAAGAAACAAAAAAAAAAAATCAATAGAATCCCATGCCATCACCAATCCTTCCGTCAAACAGAACGGCCGAGCGGCCGCCGCCGCCATCCACCACATCACCGCAATACTCCGCCGTCAGAAACCCAAACTCCACCAAACCCTCGTACCATGCCGGAATCAATTCGTCTTCAAATACCCATATTCGTCCAAATCCCTCCGCCGTCAAGTCATCTTCGCTATCACCGACCGATGATGCCGCCTCCGGCGGCGGAATCCCCAACTCGTCGTCGGAAGCTTCCTGCAAGTACTCGATCCCCACCTTCGTTGGCTCAATCTCCGAGGCAATCATCGCCGCCGGTAGGGCGATCTCCTCTTCCAAGCTCTTGATAACGGTGGCGAGATCCTGATCAGCTGGATTGCAGTTTCCGGTGTCGGAATCATCTTCGCTGAGCATATTGAGAAGATCGGCATGAATCCGCTTCGCCTCCGGCGAAGACTCTGTGATTTTCCGGCTTCTTTTGAGACTCGTGGAACCCTCCATGTGAAAGTGATGTGTATATAGAGGGAGAAAAGTTAGCGAGAAGAAGCTTGAGAGAGAAAGCTTTGGTGAGGATGTTTTGGGCAGAATAGGGCAGATTGATTTGGGGTTTATAAAGGATCAGAGCGGTTTAAGCTTCGGCATTTTTGGTAACAAAGATTTTAACAATAAAAAAATAATAAAAAGATGTGGAAGGC